GGTACAGGCCTGACGCTGGAAGCTGGCGGAAATTTTAAAATGGCGTGGATGCGCGGTGGCAAAAGTAGGCAGTTTTAGGTATAAAGATTGCAGCCCTCATTCTTCAGTATTCCTATCAGGGGCGTAGATTAAATATTTAAAAGCAGGGATCAGTGAGTAAGTAATAGACATACAAACAGAAGAACTAATTGTTGATGTTGGTGACAGTGATAGAGATTCCGATGATGACAGTGAGTGTGAAAACTAACTATAAAACAAAAGCAATAGGTTAATTTTTTCTTTATGATAAGTCATGTTTTTACATTATTTTCTAGTACGCTACTGTCCCATCTGTATTGATCGGTTCCAAGTGACTTACTCAAATAGGTCATAAATGGGCAAGTACCTGCGCGGCCGCTCGCCAGCTTTCTTTGTCTGACCTGTAGTATGTTGTACTATCTTCAACGAGATTATCAAATTACGTACTTCCTTCTCGCTAACTGGTCTACTGCTGCTTCTATGCTTTGTTAGTTTTAGTGTTGATATATTGTGTGCAATTTTGATGGTAAAGTTTGGGAAAAGTCCTGGTACATAAAAAAATTCTATTGCAATAGGTTTTAGAATAACTGTTTTATCTGTTGTGTGCTTTTTTATTATTGGGTATATCAATATTTTTACGATTCCCATAGATTACTGTCAATCGCTTTGGCTTCAATGGCATCCCCTATGGGGGTGGATGTTGCATGCGCATTTACATAACTCACTTGTGTTTTGTCGATGAGTGCGTCTTTCAATGCTCTTTGCATTGACAAAACTGCGCCTGAACCATCGGCCTTCGGGGTCGTTAAATGAGACGCGTCCCCCGATAAACCATAACCCAATATTTCGGCATAAACGCGAGCGTTTCTTCGTTTGGCATGTTCTAGTTCTTCGAGGACCAGGATGGCGCAGCCCTCACCCATCACAAAACCATCTCTTCTTTTATCGAATGGTCGAGATGCGTGGGTTGGATCGTCATTAAAAGAAGTGCTGAGGGCTCTCAACCGACAAAAACCTGCTATAGCCAAAGGACTAATGCAAGCCTCTGTCCCACCACAAACCATTACGTCAGCATCACCATTTCTAATAAAACGGAACGAATCTCCTACTGCATGGGCACCAGTAGCACAAGCCGTCGAAACAGAATGATTGGGACCCCTGCAATAGAAAAGGTAAATTTTTCAATTCTGTTTTTAAACAATAAATATGAACAATAACATTGAAAAAAGGTCGTGTAGAAACATAACTGGTGTATTCACATTTGTTAATTTATTGTATTTTTAGGGCATTTCAGCAACTTAGCAAAGTCTGTTTAAAATCAAAAATTAATAGAATAATAAAGAGCAACAAAAATTACTTACCTATTACATGCTCTTCTTTTATATTTTTACAATTTTTGAAATTCATTCCATGTTTATTTGCAGACTTTACTTAGTCACTGACAGTATTGACAAAATTAAAATTTTCTCAACATAATCTTGCCCCTACCTAAAACCATATTTAATGCTAATTTGTCCTGCTGACATATTTGGTAAAATTCTAGGGACAAAATAAGGGCTAACTTTACTAGTTCCTTTACAAAATGCAGCATTTGTTTCACAAATATCACGCAAGTCTACCATCCCCATTCCCACAGCAACACCTGTAGATTCCAAATCAGACTCGTTTAATTTAATCCATTTTGCATCTTTCAATGCCTCGTTTGCAATTAGTAATGCAAAAGAAGTTGCTAAAGACATTGATCTCAATTCGGTTTTAGAAAAGTGATTTTGTACATTAAACTCCGACTCATTTATACAAGCTGCTACCTTGCACNAAGGCTACACCCTTAAGGCGTCATCTCCATTTCTAGACAGAAAAGATGGCGTTTCGGTGTAAAAGACGTTGTCGTATCACAGTAATGAACAGTGCACGGTTTCAGGCTTGCGACTTGCCTTGGATTTGCGATAGCTACAGCATGAAGCAGTGATGACGCATAAAATCCTACTCAGAAGCATCATTTTAGATTTCTGCGACGATTCACGGCAAATTTTTCATAATTAACCAATAGTGTAGGTACTTTTATCCCCGTTTTATAAACTTGAACTTATGCTATGTTTTGCTTGGTCTGATCATCCACTCCAAAAATTATTAAATACAAGAGCGAGAAAGATGGTAGGAAACTTGAAAACACTAGAAATGAAGACAATACGTTTTTTCTCTTCCAGTTTGAATTATGTTCTCGAATATAATTTATTCAAGGATGATTACAAAGACGACGTATAGATATGATGAAACAAATTAAACGATAAACTAAATCTCTAATTATATATAAAAGAAATTATGAGTGCTGTCAGCACAGGGCAAAGTAGTATTACGATAATGAAAGTTAGTAATTTCAGCAATTGCTTATGTTGAAGTGTACGATGTGTTCCACACATATTTACAAACAATTCCTTTAGATTTAACCTTTGATTACTATACATCTATGAAAAAACCATAATGGACGACATCAATGACAATGCGACAATTGAAAAAGAATGATGGCTGACAACTGCAACAATTACAAAAGAATGATGGCCGACAGTGCGTCATAGTGGAGCAATAAAAATGGCCGGGGACAGGGGGAAGAACTAGTTATTAGGAAATAAATTGTTGACTATTTTGTATAACTTTTCTAACTTCAAGTAATTTATAATTTAAAACACTAACATAAATTTGGACTAGTTTNAAAAAGTAAGTCGTATATTCCTATATTATATAATTATATATTTTGTGTTGCAAATTGGGATATTAATTAAATCTGTTGTAGATTCATGGACAAAAGACTGGCTTTAAAACTAAACGGAGGTAGATCTGTTTCAGGAATATTAAGAGGTTTTGATCCGTTTATGAACCTTGTAATAGATGAAACAATTGAGGAATGTAAAGACGGCACTAAAAACAATGTCGGAATGGTGGTATGTATTAATTAGTGTATTAATGGCCAATACATATTTATTTTAATTAAGTATTGCCGACTACTTAACAAAGCACATTGTGGTTGTTACCGTATTTTAGTTTTATAGAAATGCAATTTATATTTTTGTTTCAGGTTATTCGAGGCAACAGTATAGTGATGTTAGAAGCACTTGACAGAATTGGATAGTGATTAATTGAAGTAATTATTTAATTATTAATTACAATTTACATGTAAAATAAGTATTTCTAATAAAAATCTTAAAAATAAAAGTTGGATTTGTTTCCACATTATTTATTCAAGGATTTTCATTAATTCAAATACTTGTAAACATTAGTTGATTTTTAATTTGCAGTGTACAAAGCAATAAAATACTAACAACCAATATGTGTCAAAAGGACACTAAAAAAATTGTTTCCAACGTTATCATTACATATAAAAAAGTAGGTACATACCAGTCAAACAATATCATTGTAGTTAAATAGTCCCATAAGTCCAACGTCTAAAAAATAATAAAGGATAGTTAGCATCTTATGAGAAATGTTCTTAAAACTTATAAAAGTACTTAAAATTACCCTTTTATTTTCCACAATTTTAGTGTACAAATTGAACATTTTCAGAATTACATTTATAATCACTGTTAAAGAAATCATACAGTTCTAAACACTTCATTATGACACATAATAAAGTATACGACGTTGATTATCCCAATTAAGCGATACGTGGAAGTTATATGTCTAATACTTTTTGCAAAAATGATTGGTCTAATTACTTATGATAAGACAATTGAATAATGGTAACATTTAGACATCGCAAATTTACTAAAAGTAAAAAGCACACAAGCATCAAAACTTTTTTATCAGCACTGGTAAAATAAGCAGGATAACGCATGACTCTAATTTTCAAGTCAAATAATTGTACTTATTTAATAGTCATCTTTAAATTTCAGTCATCTTTATTCGTCCATTGTTGCACATGTGGGCCATTATATTTTTTCAATTGTTGATGTTGTCGGCCATCATTCTTTTCTAATTGTTGCCGATGTCGGCCATCATACTTTCAATTGTTGCTGTTGTAGGCCATCATGCTTTCAAATGTTGCTATTGTCGGCCATCATGCATTCAATTGTTGCTGTTGTCGGCCATTATTAGATCATTAAAAAGTAGCAATTTTTTGGCACACATGGCACTTAAAGTAGCAAAATAAGATTTTCATATGCTCAAAAAATGCCAGAAAAAGTTTTCAATGTTTCAAAAAAGCTATATTGTAACCATGTAGCCCTCTTATTTTTAAGTATACCTTGTAGACAGATTTATAATATTTATAAAAAATGCATCGTCTTATTATTAATGAATCTTTTAAGTGCTTAAATATCTGATTTTTAATATTTAGCTCTTAGTTTCTTTCATTGTTGGTTTTCAATAGTTTTACTAAATGAAATTTTGCGAATGTCTCATTATTTACTAATTTTGTGCAAAACTAATTAATTTTTGCGACACAATAACTCTCGTCATAACTAATTGTATGAGATGGTGCGTATCTAAAAAGTCTTCGGGTATT